TTGGGTGGCCCAGACAAAAACAACCTCCTCTAGCAGCATCATTATTGTAACACAGATCTCCAACTGTCAGGATGCCAAAACAACTACATTTAAGATAACTGCACTTGCTTTATTAGCCTCTTGTAATTTTCTGACAGTTTTATCTTCTTAGACTGCAATATTGATCATGTATTAGTGACAAATATAATCTTCACTCAAGGCTGTCAGCCAAGGAATGTGACTTCAGTGCATCTTTAAAAGTCAACCATCACATTCAGAGTTGCCACTCTCAGCTAAATCACAGAATAATGTAGACTGGAAGGGCCTCTGGAAGTCACCTAAACCAACCTCCTGCTAAAAACAAGTCTAATTAGATCAGAGTACTGAGGGACTTGTTGGATATCTCCAAGGATGGGGATTCACCAGCTTCTCTGGGCAACCTGTTCTAATAGGGACCTATTTCACTATAAAGCACACACTGCTGGCAATTTGCCTCAATCGTTAACTCAGAAAATGGTTTCTTACACATTAAAACCATCAAGACCCCACTGAGTCCCTTTCCTTACAAAAAATTGGGGAAAGATTATCTTCAGCAAGCCATTATTTCTGTTCTCTAGCACAGACACCATGACATTAACAGCCAATGCTGGTGAGGTCAAAGACAAGGGATGAGGAAGAAGAGAGAGGAGAGACCATGCTCCCCTTCTTTGTCATATTCCTCCCTCTATTCAAAACTGTTTCACTGTATCCAGATGCAGAAAAATGTTTTTCATGCAGGAACTGAAAATGCCATCTCAGCATTAACTGTTTGCAAACACTCAATCCTCTTAAAGGCTGACAGAAAGAAAATAAATCTGGAGGCAAACAATCTCATGAAGAGAACCTGTGGTGACTGTCAAGTGTTTGTTCAGAGCAGGAAAAGAAATTGACTTTGCTGAATGAAATTGTCAAGTGATCAGAATACTACTAAGGAATTCCTTCTTTCAGCACATAGGGTGCTTGGTCTGTGTGCCACACAACAAAATTGAATATGATTAATCTCTATTTAACATACCACCTGAATAATCTTACTCATAAAAAAAAATGTTTAAGTGTCCCAGAATTAATTATGCTGACAGCTACTGGGAACAGAAACTTATTCTGTTCTTCTGAAGATCACTTTCCAGCTATGCCCCAACCCTACAACAGAAGGAGAAAGAGGAAATGGAGCAGTGGTCTGTTTTTAAAAAAAAACAACAACAAGAAAACCAAACAAAAAACAACCACCACACAATTCTAACATTCAAAATATTCATGCATATGTTTAGTGCTTCTGTATTAACCATGCAGAAACAGTTATCAGAGCATCATGGTATTAACTGTGCATGTCAGATTAGGTGTAGCAGGACTAGAGAAAAGAAACAAGATGAGAGAAAGATTGAATATTTCCCCCCTGCCCCAGCTCCAGCCGAACTACCAGCAAATATTAGCACACTTGAGGTCTGGATACTTGCCAGTTAGCACAAAGGTCAACAAAAACAGAAGCTGCTAGAAATACAATAGTTTTTGGGGACGTAAAACCTGAGTAACAGATATAGAGAGACTAAAAGTTAACTACTCCAAACTTCAGTAACACAGCAGGTGAAAGGGGAAAAGACTGAAAAAGAGCCATGACACTGTCAACTACTCAACATGAAAAACATTAAAACAAAATTTCAAGGAATCTGTTTCCTTTTTTTTTTTTCACTTTTTTTAAATAACAGGACAGGCTATCGCAATAGGATCACAGTTCTTGTGAAGCAACCACCAGCTGACGAAAACAACGGTGATCTTGAGAGCTGCAGCACTGTGCTGTAATCAGAAGACACAGAAGGAAGCAGTAACTTCTCTGGAAAAGGCTTGGCAGGTAGCATTTAATGTATTTTAAAAGTTTAAAGGAAGATGGCACTTTGCATCTCCTGAATAGGAACACCACACACTGCTGCAAAACCACTACGCAACAAGCAAGGGGATCCAGTGTCCTGCCAGGGTTCCAAAAACCATAGAAGCAGTTTTTACCAGTGTCCACAAAATAAAAGGCCAAGCACTTTTCCTCTTCACTCAGCTGTTTTACAATTGCAAGCCAAAGGTCAACTATCTTCACTCACTTTTGGAAACCAGCCACAAGATTACTAACAACCAGCTTAATGGCTACAGTTCAAATGCTATTCAATCAAGTCCTGAATATGTGGGCATGCAGCAGTAATGGCACCATGACATCATAGGCAAGTTATCTGCTGAAATCAGAGGGAGCCACACAGTGTGGATCTTTGCCTTCTCTCCCCACAAAGAGAAACATGAACTTCTAAGGAGTGGGAGTTAAAATGTTTTATTTTGTTCTCTCCATGTGTCCAAGGCATAACATTCTTTTGTGAAGCAATTTCTTGCCATCATCATCTGTGCCACCAAACTGATTCAACTTTCCAGAGGGGAATCAAGACAGGTGTCTAATAGCTAGATTTAAAGAGGTCTTCATTACACATCAGGTTCTGTGTGTGCCTCAGCAAGGCACATCTAAAGAGCAATGCATGCACACGTTACACATTTATTTCTCTTCCCAATTCATTTGAGAGCAGCAGGATTGACCTGATTAATAAGACAGATCACATGAGGCACTAGAATGGGATGCCCCGAGATTTCTCAGCCATGAGCAAAGTAGCAACAAAACACATCTGGCATCTCTGATGGAAATTAATTTCCACAACCTGAAACACATCTGAAGTGAACCAGACTCTCAAAATGACAATGCACCACAGAAGCCTGTCAGTCTGAGTACAGTGAAGTGTAACGATTCTAATTGATGTTGGCTTATCTGTCTGAAATTTGCCAGCCTGAGGCAAACCTGACCATCCTGCACAGCCCTCATCTCAACTGTGTGCTGAAGGAAGACTCCTGAAAGGAACTTTTGCAGTTGCCATTAACTTCTGTGACAATCTTGAGCAACTTACCATTTCTGTGACTCAGCTTATTCATCTAGGAAGTACAGAAAAATTTGCAAACATTTTCAGAATATGAATTGAAATTAAATACAGTTTGAATACTGCTCATGGATGCTTTGAGGAAATGTTCAGCCTAGGGTTTGTGTGGAGCAGGAAAATCCCTCTCTGTATTCTAGGAAGAATACAGATATTACTGTAGTGTAGCAGCTTGAACACCACCATGTATTTATGATTTTGACAACATTTCCATCATGCAATGACATCAAGAGGCTAGAACACTAGGACTCAGTAACATCTTCCTATCAGCACCTGTGCTACTGTGCAGTTTTAAGTTTTAGCACAGACCAAACTTTCAAAAGTCTAAAAAAGTTATTTTAATTCCTAGAGAAGATTTTTAAATGAATGCAAATTTTACAAGACATTTTTTATGTACTTCAGCAAACTTTTATACCAAATGAGATGAATATAATTAAGAAAATAATTTTAAATACACTAAATTTAATTATACTTATTTTTTCCTTCCTGTTCAGCATTTTCTCCATGCTTACTTCAGCTGTGCTCTACTTCAAACACTGTAAAAGCTGAGGGCAGCCAGTAGTAATCAAAAATAGAAGAATACATCTCAGGTCAAGAAAAATAAATGCAAAGTTATCACAGAAGACTTATAAAATTCTGACAGTCTTGAACGTTTAAAAATAGCAAAAGGAAATACTCTGGTAATTTACATAATCACTGGAATTGAGGTGTACAAGTCTAACAGGCATTTTTAGGCATTATGGACCAGGGACTTGTACAGTATCTACAGATGCAGTTACTTTCAAAATTAACAAACTCAAAGCAGGACATATTTTTGCAATCTTCATCTCTTCAAGGCTACATGATATTACTGCACTTTTAAACAAAGCCACAGTTATGTTACTGATGTATCAGCTGCAAAAGATGCATATTAAGTTTATATGCAGAGGTTGGTTTTTTCCAACTTTTCTTAAAATAGTAGTTAAAATCGAGCCCTTCCCTGGCAAAAATCTTGAGCAGATGAGTAATCCCACTGAGGTCTGCAGGACTTGATTTGTCAGCACACACAAAGTTACAGCCTTCCATCTGCAGGACAGGCACCTCACAAAACACTTTCTACACAAAGCATTTAAGAAAGAAGCATCTTTAAAATATTTTAATACTATATCCATCACTCTAGGAAGGTAAAGCCCACCTTACATATTTATGGAGAAATACTGACTCTGAATGAAACTCCATTTAAACATTCTGAAATATGGTTTGTAATACTTGGAAGCAACAAAGCTCAGAGCTATATTTCACTATGTCCAAATCACTACTGACCTTTCTATTTTACTCCCCCACCAAAATAACATTTTGTGCTTGTTCTGTGTGTCCAGGTTTTTTAAAATACTGTTTTAGAAATTAAAATATTTTTCAAATTCCTTTAATATAGCCAAGATGAAACCTAAAAAGCCTTTGATATACTGGAAGAATTATAGACCAAAATCCCTCTAATGCACTGCAACATCCACTTACATCTGCACAGATCCATTAAATATTCAGCCACAAGCTTATCACTCAAGTTCATCAGAACTGAAGATAATACTCAGCACCAATATTTGACAGCCTGATGCTAAAAGATTATCTACTGAGAAATAATCTAATCACTTCTCTTTGATATTGGAATCCTTGGCAAGAGGCAAAGGAAAGCAATAGCAAATGGCTCTTGATTACTTGGAGGGGTTTCCTCTCCTAGAAGGGAATTCAGTGTAGAGATTATCGTGTACTTCTGCTTATTTGCTACCATGTTTACAACCAAGTTCTCAAATATTTCAATCTCAGAAGAGAGAAATGAGGATGCCTGCTTAACTCAGAAACGAAACAGCCTCTCCTACTACTGAAGGGATCAGACTGGGCTTGAGGAAATACCGAGGTACCCTCTTAAAGGAGATGGCGTTTGTTGGGGAGGCAAGAGAGGGTCAGGACTAACGGACAGGAAGAGACTCGAGAGAGGCTGAAAAGCAGAGGGCAAAAGAGGGAACTCCCGTGCCCTTAACCTCCACTTACCTTAAGGATATCCCCCCGTTTGAAGCTCAGCTCGTCATCGGCGGTGGCTTTGAAGTCGTACTTGGCGATGGCTTCCATGCTGGGGCTGGTGCGGGCGCTGGGCAGGAAGCGCTCCCCGAAGCCTCCGCTGCTC